CGCACAGTGGGCGGAAATCCCCAAAACGTGGCCAAAAGTCTTAAAGTTTTCCGATTTGCATAAAAATTGATACAAAAGGGTTTACGTCGTTTTTTAGGTCACAAGTTACGATCAAAAATAAAAACGAAAAGCAAAATGGCAAATTAAATATGGCCGACTTATATTTAACAAAATTTTACAAAATTTCAGATATAGATTCGTCTTCGGAATCATCTTCCGAATCGGAATAGTTTCGTTCGACATTTGGAGAGGTGATCGGAGCCACTAATAGTTCTACAGCCTCTGGTAAAAAAGAATTTAATTTTTTTTGCGGCAACTTCCTTAAACTCGAAATATAAGGATCTGAAGATACTGTTAACCAATTGAAAACATCTTCCATAGTTTTCGTCCTGGAACATTTTCTCGAAAAGCTTTCACGATATTTTTTTATATCTTTATTACGGGCTTCTTGCGCATCTTCAGATAGTTGTCCGATTGGTAATAAGGCCGATTCTATGATTTGCGGTCCGTGAATTAATATTTTATGTACCGTAATAGGCATGGGATACCACGGATACGTGTTTACAAATAATTTCGCAGTTTCTAAGGCATACTGTTCGAATTTTTTGACGTTTACATCGTGGCCACTTGACATTGTCTGTAAAATCACATGAAATCGTTTTATTAGAGTTTCCTCCACTCCCGTTATTGAAGCAGACACCGATGTGTTTTTAAAAAAACGCCGAGCTGTGTTCCCGTCATTAGTGCTGCCATATCCGGGCTTTGGGCGATCGATAATGAGTCCTAACTGTTGCTTGAAGCCTTTCTGAATAATTTTTTTTCGGTCCTGTGTAATTTGCTTTTCTTCTGTGCTACGTGCTTGCCACTTTTTAATCCCGAGTTTGTAGGACAGATGTAACAAGCATTCAAATAAGCGGATCCACGCGTGCAACGTTGATAATCCGAACCGCAAATTAGACTTGTCTATTTTTTGCTTTTTTACAAGATCGAGGTTATTAATATTCTTTGACGTAATTCCGCATAAGTAGCAACGCAAAGTTGATTTCGTCGACGTAACTGCATTGCATACTTTCCCATCTATCATTGTGAAAATCATGTCGTAAGTTATTGAGATCTCTTTCCCATCAACAACCGTGTTGAATGGATCAAGAGATTTTATTTGCTCTTCTATATGGTGCATTTCGTTCACAATCGATTGCACGTCTTCGTGAAGAAATTGTAACCTTATCGGTCTACAAAATCGAGGAGACGAGGGCCTCGGATTTTTCCAGATAACTATTTTTGAGTCTGATTTACAGTCGACGAATAACAGTTGCAAAGGAACGAGTGATGTGAGAAATACATGTTCGTCTGAGCTGTTCTCATTTGCGAACTTTTGCTTATACTCGCTTTGCCCCGAGCTTCCATCACAACCCCACTTACATATAAGGTTCATATGTTTCACGGTTTCCTGCAACAAACTTTTGATGACGTCATTTTGCACGAGCAAAATGCGTTCAGCAGTATGATTTAATAATGCTTGCAATTTGACTTCTGCACTGGTTTCAGTTATTGTTACATCTGAACGAGGTGGATAACACCGAACTTTGGCTTGCGACACTTTATCGTAAGGCGGGTAAAGATTGCAGTGGTGCTCCTTCATTGATTGTCTGATCAGCGAGTACTGGTTCTTGGTTAATTTCGCTTCAACGACTACTGAAAGAGCGGCATCATCTGACATAGGAATTGCAACGTTTGAGGTTGCTTGAAAAGCTGCCTTGTACTTTGACGCTCTCGTTGGGCTCGATGTAGTCACTTCCTTTACAATGTTGGCAGCATCAAGTTTTCCAGAAGAGCGAAGCTTCATTTGAGTTGCGTAGGATAACTCCTCAGTGCTGTATGTTGTGCGCATTTCAGCGGTTTTTCTTCGCTTCGATCGCTCACTAGCTGTCGTAAACTCCATGGAAGGACGACCAAACTTACTTGTCGATGATATTTTAGGTGCGAAAGCATTCTGGAAAAAATATAGTCAATTTAGTATAGAGGTAATTCAACAGAATGACATGTCATGACAGTCTACCTATAAATAAGATATAAATAAAACATCTTGCTGTTACAAATTTAAAAAAATACAGGGTAATCACTGGCAAATATATTGAGTTATTTAGCCAATTCTCTTGTTGGTGTACAAATGTTTTGAGATTTCTTGAAGCTTCTTGCCATTTTGATCGAAATTTGTGGAATAGCTTTGATATTGTGGCCTTGTCATCTGAGTTTAATTTAAAGGGATAATTATTCTTCGCCGTCAAACTCTCCTCCAAATGCTGAACCTGTTCGTTGAAGCTTATTCGCAGGGTATTCTTCATTATAAGAAATATGTCCTTATATGTATGTATGAATTGATCGTCACTCGATCGTGATCCTGTAATATAAATAACTTTTAAGGGTCGGCAGGAGACACGGTGGATACCTCTGTCGGGTTGGCTTAGCTGCGGAGTTAAAGTGCAGTTTAACGTGCACTTAGTGCATAAAGTGCACCTGAGTTTGCCTGGGTCTCCTGCCGACCCTTAACAGATTTTCGACTCAGTAACCTAATCTAACTTAGCAAAAATGACCATACAACGCGTGCCGCAAGTTGCCGCAGCCAAATTTGCGAAATTCCATCGCGTAACACTTTAAACTAAAGATTGGTACTTGAAACTACACGAGATATTACGGGATCTTTAACTTTTGCCACCGTTGAATATAGATCTAATTCACAAAATCCACAATTTATGGACACCAATTGTTTATCTTTAAATTAAATACATGCTAAGCTTAAATAAATAAAAAATTAAAACAGAAATATTCTACATACCTCCAGGAACACCCTCCATTCCGCAGTTGCAATCAAATAACACTCCTGTCGAAAGTTACACTCGTTCGACCGAAAATCGCTTGTATTTATACGCAGCGAGTGCTACTCTCTCGAAGGGCAATTTCATACTGAGATAGAAAATTAGATATGGAAGATAGCCTCTTTTTTTTGCCATTACATGCACGGAGATGTTTCCTATAAGGCTGTATAGTTATAAATCTAAAATAATAAATTTGATTTTCCGACTTTTGGCCACGTTTTCGGGATTTCCGCCCACTGTGCGTCGGCACGTTTTTGCGTGTCGGCGGAGCGGCTGCGGGTCCCGAGGTCTCGGCGGCGATGGCAGCGGAGGCGGCGGATCCCGTGGCGAATAGCTTCGTCCAGGTTGCCCCGAAGTCCGGGCAGGCCGGGTCGTAGGCGACGGGCTCGACGAGGAGTTCCTCGATTTCCTCGAGGATGGTTTTCTCTTTCGTTGATGTCTCCATCGCAGAAAATTTGCCTCGAGTGTGTCTTTTGACTTCGGAGCTCGTTTATATAGCCGACCTTTTGTTTATTTAGCGGGTGGCCGGGAGGGGATATAGGGCAATGTTTAATATTCGTTGTTGTCCTCGGTATCGTTGTCGGGGTCGCTGGTGTTTTCGGCGTCGGTTTCGCTGTTGCTCTCGCTGTCTGTTTCGGCATTTTCTTCTTCGGTCTCGTCGCCTGGAGGGGGGTTTCCGGCGCGGCTTTCAAGTCTTGTACGTGGATATGTCGGATCCACTTGCCGCTCTTATCGCGCAGGTCCACAATTACGGAGGATACTATACGTCGCACTTCGAGGGGGCCTCTGAATTTCGGCGCGAGTTTTGCGTTGAATGCTGCGGCTTTATTGGAGAGTGGGTACTCACGCTTCCATACCCAGTCTCCAATTTTTGGTGTCCACGCTCGTCGTCGGAGATTATAATACTTCTGTTGTCGCTGGAACGCGTGTGCGAGATGTATTCTCGCGTGTTCGAAGGCCTCCTCGAGATGTCGGCGCTTTTTGTCGGGCGGCGGTGCGGCGGTTTTTGGTGCGGCGTCTTGATTGAGAGGGGATACCGGCTCGCGACCGTAGACAAGATATGCAGGGGTGTATCCGGTTGCCTCGTGCCGCGCCGTATTGTACGCGAATTGTAACTCCGGTATTCGCTCGTCCCAATTTCGATGATTTTGGTCCACATATTGGGATACCATTGTCTTTACTACGCGGTTCGTTCGTTCTACCGGGTTGCAATGTGGCGCGTGCACGGGCGTATATGCATGCCGCACGTGATGTTGTAACCGGACGGTACTACTGGAGGCACGAATCAACGCTACGTGTCCTTAGAAATCAACGGTCGCCACTCGGTTTGACCTTTGAACCACCGAGAAGGTAAGTATCGAACGATATCTTGAACTATCAATTAGACTAATTCTCTTCTTTTTTCAAGTTCTTGCCACCGCTGGATCATCGCCGTCATCGATCGGGATCGTCGTTGCCACCGGAATCCAGGACCAACGAGGGACTTCGAGTGATCGACGCCAATGGATCAGGTAAGTAGAAGGTAAGTCCAATTTAATAAATTTTCGAAATCTTTTACGAAAAGGATGTTTAATTTATTCAATTATATTGATTTCCAGTGTTGGTTGTTCACAAAACTTTAAGTCACAAAAGATGTCGGACGCTCGTATACGTGCGCACAAACGCCCCGTTTATCTACGACGCACGAACTTATTTTGGTCTAAAAAGGTCGTTCGTCAATGTAAAGACGACAATTAACGCGTTCCGCGGCGGGCGTTCCCGGTTGTTACGAATGTTGGCGAGCCGCAATTATCGCACTTGTATGACGATCGCGGTGACTTGGCGCGACGACGCAGAGCGAAGCTTATTACGTGTTACACGCTCGAACATCCCCGAGAGACTGCCACGAGTTGTTTGTCTCGTTCGAGCTCCCTACCATCGGTCTTGTATATCCCTACTCCGACGTATATTCCGCTTTCTCTCGCTGCTAACTGCGCGTCGGCCTCCGGTAATTTTCCACGCGGGTGTTTACGCCGTTCGCGCCGTACCCCGTGGAAATTTCCACGCGCATTGCGCTCGCGCGGTCGCTCCGTCCTGGCAACGGGACAGCTGTTTTTCAACTCGACAAATTTCGCTCGGTCGTTGACGCCGACCTGTGCGCCAGGTCTATTACTAGATCTACAATCTCCATCCGGGCGACTTTTCTGAAGAAGACGTCCGGGTGCAAAGCACTGGGCCTGCCGACGACGCCGACCCCTCCTGACGCTTATTCCGTACCTGGTACGATGCCCTCCGCGGTTCTTCCCCGCAGAAGATGTCCAGGTCGCGAGATGGCGGACGGTTCTGTAACTTCGTTACCGGTCGTCGGATTTCGACGGCGACCGGATATGGACGTTCGTGGGGACTTCCCCGTTAATCAGGGATGTCTTTTCCCCGGGGATAACTCACCTAGGGCGAGTTCCCGGACGGTCCGCCATTTCGTTACCTGGCCGACGGGTCTCACCGGGACCCGGCTTCGTGGGCTCGGCGACGTGCCCCCCCGATGTCAGGAGTGCTCAACTCCTGTAGAAGACGCACCTAGCTCGATTTCGCGGACGGTTCGCTATCTCCCGTCCGCGTTCCCGTATCGTGTCGCCAACCCCGTACGCGTGACCCGTGGACCTCGTGTCCTCGTCAGAGACGTATCCTTTTACCGCGGTGCCGTTGGTTCGAAAGTTTTCCGACGGTCCGCCATCTTTCTGATCACTGGTCGGATCTCACTTTTGACGCGCGTATTACTTTTCGCGGGTCTCCCTTTGCGATCAGGGCTCTTAGTTTTTACCCGCCCGTCGCGTATTCTCTGATTTTGCGGACGGTCCGCTATTTTCCGCTTGCGCGCCATTCTCGCCATTCCGTGCGCGCATCTACCTTATCGGGTCTCGGACAATCGCCGAGACGCTCCAGTCGTTGCTTCGCATTCGCGGTCCATCCCTTCGCCGTACGTCATTCTCCCGTTCCATGGACCGTCACGGCTCGTCCGTCATGTTGTGCGTGGAAGTCTCCCGGTCATTCGCTCGGGAGGCCCCCCTTTCTTGGAAAATGTGGTTGGGCTCAAGCCCTGTCATGTCGCCGCATGACCTCCCGTACCCGCGCCGACGGGAACAAAACAAAACTACGTAATCGAAAATAAACTAAAATTTGTGCCTCTTCTCGAGGGGTTATGCCGCTTGAGCCTCAACTAGATGAAAATACTTGCGCGGTATGATACGTTTATAATTAACTACGCGCCGGATGGGGTCGCTATCCATATTGCGATCAAACGAACGAACTAAATGAAACCAGGATTATCGTCATAAACAGAAAACAAAATTACTACTAATATCTCCCGACTTTATCCCCATCCTCGGGACGCGGACGCTTGACTTATAACTAAATTGGACGTGGCTCCGCCTCGTCCATCTCGGGACCGCTGCTGTTGGTGCCCTAGTCGTCTCCGGTGATGCGTGCGGCTGCAATGTGCGGCTAGCATTTTTTCAAGTTTCGCGGACCGGAGCTGCGTCCCATTATCTGACAGGAAAATAAATGGATCATGAGTGATAATTTTCCTTCTTAGAATCTTTTTTTTTTACAATTCAAAATACATAACATTTAAAAAATTACAAAGAAATCGGCAGAGGGGGGGGGGCTTATACTCAATATCTACATATATTCTTTATATTATTCTCCATTGTGTGATAATGATTATAACATGAGAAATCTAACTTTCTAGCGGCTCAAAAGCCATTGGTAAGCAGACCAAAAACGTTGATGTTTTAAAAATAAACTTGCCAAATTGGAGAAGCAAGTGATTGATCTGACATAATTTTATTGTCACATTTACATGACAGACCACATTTGTTAATATTGGCTAGACAGATTAAAGGAAGTAAGATATCGGCGCGAAAGATTTACATATATCGAAAACAGCGTACCAAAACTTGGATAATATTGAATTATCTTGAGCCGATGTAACGCTCGGGAAGGTGACGGTACCAGAAGCAATATCTTGGCATAAGAGTTTTCAGTCAAGTAAAAGACAATTATGCAAGCCGTCAAACGATTCAGGAACGGTTCGAAATCGTTTCTGAGCGGTTCAGAAACAGTGATGAACGACGCAAAAACATAAACAGAAACGGCTACGTACAGCTGAAGAACGACAACTACGAACAGCCAACGAAACGCTAACCGAACATGAGACCGTTAAAATCGACCGATGTGGATAATAATATCAAAAAGCGACGGTTGGTGGACGAATTGCACGCACCGGCGAGAAGAAATTTTCCCCGCAGACACGTCATAGTGCGAGGGTACGACGACCTGTGGCAAGCTGATATCGTCGAGATGCGTCCGTACTCGCGTTTCAACGGAGGCTACCACTACATACTCATCGTCATCGATGTGTTGAGCAAATACGCCTGGGCCGTGCCGCTCAAGGGTAAAGGTGGCAGCGAGACAACTGACGCTATCGCCAAGATAATTCGAGATAGCGGGAGGTGCCCTAGTAATCTACAAACCGACATGAGGGAAGGAATTTTACAACACCGACGTGCAACGTCTCGTGAAAAAACACGGTATCATTCATTATTCCACGTTTTCGGTGATGAAGGCGTCGGTCGTCGAGCGATTCAATTGCACGTTAAAAAACAACATGTGGAAAATGTTTACGCTCAATGGAACTTACAAGTGGTTTGACGCGTTATCGCGACTCGTGTCGGATTACAACGCGCACAAGCATCGAATGATCGGCATGCGACCCGTCGACGTTACCCCCGCGATCGCCGAAAGACTCTTGGCTACGGTGTACAGCGTGATAAAGATCGCGGGCCCGGCAAAGTTCAAAGCGGGCGACTCGGTACCGATACACGCCGAATTGGACTACCGAGGTGTTTATAAGATCGTTAAAGTGCAGCATACCAATCCCGTAACCTACCTACTCGAGGACTATCGTGGAAAATCCGTCGCTGGAGCGTTCTACGAGTACGAGTTGCATCGCGCGACTTATCCTGACGTGTATCTCGTGGAGAAAGTACTGTGCAGGAGGGGCGACGAGGTTTACGTGAAATGGTTGGGATTCGATGGATCGCACAACTCATGGATACACAAGGACAATGCGATTTAATTCGTGCAAACTGTATTTTATTCTTAATATAAAAAATGATACATGTAAAGTGTTTGAAATATGTAATACATATAAAGTATATAATAAAAAATATTAATTACTAAATACATGTGCGATATATTTATTAATATCCCTTTTCATATATAATAAGATATTTACTCGAGGACTATTGTGACTTTCGTGCTTCGTGGCGCCATATACAAATTTTTTTCTTGGAGAAGGGGATGGTCACTGCGTAGATGTATCTATTTCACACTATTTTTTACGACGCAGTACGCGAGACAAAGAAAAAAAATAATCTTTCAAGATTCAATTGGAGCGAGAGAGAGAGCAAAGGGTATTTAATGAGGGATGAAGCGCATCGAACCGCATTAGTGTAAGATTGAGAGCATATGTGCAGCGTTTCTTCGTTATTGTGTGATTAAACACGTTATCACATGCAAGTGAAGAAAGTGAGGCTGTAAAAGAGAGGTTATGAATCGATTGACACTGGTAAATATACATATTAATAATATTAAAAAATAATAAAGTGTAATGTTACATACTTTTTTGTGAAACCAAAAATTTATAACCATATAAAAATATTAAATACTAAATACATGTGCGATATCTCTATTAATATCCCTTCTCATATATAATACGATATTTACTCGAGGACTATTTCTTACATACATACATATATGTTATACTGCATACATTACATACATATATGCATACATACATTATATTACATATACTACATACATACATTTATATGTTATACTACATACATAGATATATATACATACATACATACAT